GCCGTGACATCACGCGCGGCCCCCCACTCCCCCCCCACTGTCACGCCTGGGCCCCTTGTGTCATCACGCGCCCGTGTGATGTCACGCGCGTCACCCGCTGCCGCCCTCTGTCATCACGCGTGTCACCACGCACATCACAGCGTGTCATCCCGTGTCGCCCCTTCACCCTCCCCCCCCCACCTGTTGCTGTGTGGCGTCACGTGACATCAGATGATGTCACATGTGACGTCACCCTGTGATGTCACCGCCCCCCCAGGGCTGGAGGCCGCCGGTTGGGAGACGAAGCGGCACCTCCTGGCCCCCGACGAATGGCAGCGCGGCTGGGCGGGGCCAGGGGGCGGGGCCTTGGCCGAGAAGCCCCGCCCCCAACAACCAGCTTCGCGTTGACCCAAATCGGCCCCAAAATGGGGCGGGGGAGGGGGCGAAAATGGTGGGTTTTTATCAACAATGGGACCAAAAAAGCACCGGTTTGGGGCATTTATAAAAATGTGCGGTTTGCTGCCGAGGCGTTTTGGGGGGATTTGGGGAAAATTTGGCGCATTTGGGGGAATCTGGGAGGACTTTTGTGGCATTTTGAAGGAATTTGGGGCATTTGGGGGGGATTTTCAGGCATTTTGAGGGAATTTGGGGGCATTTTGGTGTATTTTTAGGAATTTTGAGGGAATTTGGAGCATTTGGGGGGAATTGGCGGCATTTTGAGGGAATTTGGGGCATTTTAGGGGGAATTTGATGCATTTTTTGAGGATTTGGGAGGACTTTTGTGTCATTTTGAAAGAATTTGGGGCATTTTGGGGTGTCTTCAGGCATTTTGAGGGAATTTGGGGCCTTTTGGGGTATTTTTAGGCATTTTTGAGGGAATTTGGGGCATTTTGGGGGGAATTTGATGCCTTTTTTGAGGATTTAGGAGGATTTTTGTGTCATTTTGAAGGAATTTTGGGCTTTTGGGGCATTTTCGGGCATTTTGAGGGAATTTGGGGGCATTTTGGTGTATTTTTAGGCATTTTGAAGGAATTTTGAAGCATTTGGGGGAATTCGGGACATTTTGGGGGATTTTCAGGCATTTTGAGGGAATTCGGGGCCTTTGGGGGGGAATTTGGGGTATTTTTAGGCATTTTGAGGGGATTTGGGGCATGTCGGGGGGAAGTTGGTTGATTTTGGGAGGATTTGGGTAGAATTTGGGAGGGTTTTTGTGTCGTTTTGAAAGAATTTGGGGCAATTTGGGTTTTTTTAGGCATTTTGAGGGAATTTGGGGGGAAGTTGATGCATTTTTTGAGGATTTGGGAGGATTTTTGCCTCATTTTGAAGGCATTTGGGGCATTTTGGAGGTATTTTGGGGCCTTTTGGGGTATTTTTAGGCATTTTGAGTAAATTTTGGGGCATTTTGGGGGGAATTCAGTGCATTTTTGGAGGATGGGGGAATTTGGGAGGATTTTTGTGGCATTTTGAAGGAATTTGGGGGTACATTTTGGCCTCGTTTTGCGGTATTTTCATCTCATTTTGGGCCACTTTTAGCTTATTTTGGGGCATTTTGGCCTATTTTGGGGGCATTTTGGCCTCGTTTTGCGGTATTTTCATCTCATTTTGGGCCACTTTTAGCTTATTTTGGGGCATTTTGGCCTATTTTGGGGGCATTTTGGCCTCGTTTTGCGGTATTTTCATCTCATTTTGGGCCACTTTTGGCTTATTTTGGGGCGTTTTGGCCTCGCTTTGGGGCATTTTGGCCTTGTTTTGGGGCGTTTGGGGTCATTTTGGCCTCATTTTGGGTCATTTTGACCTCATTTGGGGGTGTTTGGGGCTCGTTTTGGGGTGTTTTGGCCTCATTTTGAGGCATTTTGGCCTCATTTGGGGGCGTTTTGGCCTCATTTGGGGGCATTTTGGCCTCGTTTTTGGGGCGTTTGGGCTCATTTGGGTCGTTTTGGCCTCGTTTTGGGTCATTTTGGCCTCATTTGGTGTCATTTTGGCTTATTTTGGGGTGTTTGGGCCTCATTTTGGGGCGTTTGGGCTTGTTTTGGGTCATTTTGGCCTGGTTTTGGGGCATTTGGGGCTCGTTTTGGGTCATTTGGGCTTATTTTGGGGTGTTTGGGCCTCGTTTTGGGGCGTTTGGACTTGTTTTGGGTCATTTTGGCCTGGTTTTGGGGCATTTGGGGCTCATTTTGGGGCATTTTGGGGTGTTTGGGCCTCATTTTGGGGCGTTTGGGGGCGTTTTGGCCTCGTTTGGGGGCGTTTTGGAGGATTTTGGGGGGTCTCAGGCAAAGTACCCCCAGAGGAAGACGGCGACGGCCATCAGGATCAGGGCGTTGATGTCCACCACGCGGCTCCAGACCGGGTCCTCGGGGGGGGACGCAGGGGGCTCTGCCCCTCCCCCTCCCTTTGATGACCCCGCCCCTTGGCCAACAGGCTCCTCCCCCTGGGTGGGTGGCTCCGCCCCCTGGGCGGGTGGCTCCGCCTCCACATCTGGAAGAAGTTGGGGGGCTCCAGACACAGCCCAGACACCGGGGTCCGCTCCCAGACCCCCACGACCCCTCCTGGACCCCTGGGACCCCTCCCCAGACCCTTGGGACCCCTCTTGGGACCCCTGGGTCCCCTCCCTGGACACCAGGGTCCCCTCCTGGACCCCTAAGTCCCCTCCCTGGACCCCCAGGTCCCCTCCCCAGACCCTTGGGCCCCCTCCTCGGATGCCAGGGTCCCCTCCTGGACCCCCAGGTCCCCTCCTGGACCCCTAAGTCCCCTCCACGGACC